GCCCAAATCTGTTCATATAATATTAACTGAAAAAATGTCTGTATATATATTGTGTGTTTAAAATTGGGCATTATCGCCTTTATAGAGATGAAAAGATTATAGGATTATCTATCTATTCATGGATCTATCTATCTATCTATTCCATATCAAATATCTAAACTCATCTTATAATATATATCTATCTATCTATCTATCTATCTATCTATCATTTTAAATTTAATCTGTCTGCACATATTAAAACTGAAAATTTGTTAAATATGTGTGTGTTTAAAATTTTTATGTGTGTGTCTGTATGTGTGTGTTTGTGAAAGACATACATAGGGCATCTGACCTGGTTTTACTAAAAATAAAATATTTTTTCTCACACAACAAATTCTATGATTATGTTTAAAGATATGTTAATGGTAAACAAAATAAATAATACATCTTTTAAATACGATCCATCGCCAAAGATGCAAGAAAAATGGTCGTTTCTCTGTACCATTCCAGTAATTACCTGACTTCTCATGCTATCCTACCACCTTTATAAGAGCCAGATCAGGCCGAATATGGAGTATTACTGCCATATATGGGCAAATAAACAGATCTTAAAGAGAAACTTCCGATAGAGTTTAAAAGCGCCTACGGGTTTTTTGGGGGGAGACAAATTATTTTCCACCTTCCAAACTCTCTCTCTCTCTCACTCTTGGGATGTGGTGAGTCTCTCACTGCTCCATCGCTACTTCCATGGAAAGTGCTCGGATGAACTACATTGTTTGGTTCCGCCAAGTCTAACCTTCAGGGTTAGGACCCGCCATGCCACTTACATGGTAGCTAGCCATCCACATGCCCCACGTAATTCCATCGGCGAGAGAGAATTCCACTCGAACAGCTTCTTCCCATGAACCACTGTGTAAACGACTCCCAAGAGAATGCTTTCCAGATCACTACAATCTTAACCTGTTCGAGTCTACAGACAACCGTTATTTTAAAAAAATCCGTATAAACAGCCTCTAAACATAACCCTCTATTTCAAGTGCCCTCCCCCGGGACTTGTACAGGGTGGACCATACTGTTAAAAATAACAAGAAAAGTGTTTGAGCGGATGATGGAAAATATGACATGCTACACACATTGTAACAAACCAACCACATTTCCTCCATAATTAGTGAGAAGTAGGTTTCATTCAAAGAGCTTCTTCTCTCGTACCACTGCTCTGTGGAACTGACACCCAAGAGGATGCTTCCCCGATCACTACAATCTTAGCCTCTTCAAATCTAGGGTTAGCCGTTATCTTCTCCTCCTATCCGTATAATATTCCTGTTTTTAACCATCTATATTGTTGGCTCCAGGGCCTTGTACATGGTGAACCTTACTGTAAAAAAATTGTCAACCAATATTTTTACAATCTTAACCTGTTCAAGTCTCGAGTTAACTGTTACCTTCCCCTCCTATCCGTATGATCTTCCACTTATCGTAACCCTCTACCCCGAGTGGCTCTAGATGAAATTGATACATAGTAAAAAATACAAACAAAAAAAAAAAAAAAAAAAAAAAATTATCAACCAATATTTCTACAATCTTAACCTGTTCAAGTCTAGAGTCAACCATTATCTTCCCCTCCTATCCATATAAACTACCCCTCAACATAACTCTCTACCTTGATTACCTTGGAACAGGGTGAACTTTACTGTAAAAAATTATCAACCCATATTTCTACAATCTTAACTTTGTTCATTTCTAGAGTTAACCGTTACTTTATAATTTTAAAAATCCGTATTTGATCTTCCACTTATCGTAACCCTCTACCCCGAGTGGCTCTAGGGCCTTGTACATAGTAAACATAACTGTAAGCAAAAAAAAAAAAAAAATTATCAACCAGAAATGCTTTTTGTAAGGTGAACCTCATTGTAAAAAAAAAATTTCAACCAATATTTCAACAATCTTAACCTATTCAAGTCTAGAGTTAAACGTTATCTTCCCCCTCCTATCTATATATACTACCCATTAACGTAACCCTCTACCTCGAATGACTCCCCAGCCTTGTACAGGGTGAACATTACTGTAAAAAAAAATTGTCAACCATTATTTATACAATCGTAACCTGTTAGTAATAACCGTTATCTTCCCCTCCTATCCGTATAAACTAGCTCTTAATGTATCCCTCTGCCTCGAGTGTCTCCCCGGCCTTGTACACGGTGAACCTTACTATAAAAAAAAATTATCAACCAATGTTTCTACAATCTTCACCTGCTCAAATATAGAGTTAACCGTTATCTTCCCCTGCTGTCCGTATAAACTACGCTTTAACGGAACCCTCTACCTTGAGTGGCTCCCGGGTCTTGTACGGGTTGAACCTTATTGTAAAAAAATATAAATGAATAAAAATAAATATTAATCTTTTTGTTTAGTCTTTGCTGTTCGATTTTAAGAATAATTCTCGTCGTATCTTTTCTGCAGGATTTTACTGTTGCTGCTCTTTGCAGCACTGGTTACCATCTGCACATCTCAGACGCTGCAGATGCAATGCTCAACCAACCAGAGACAGACGGCCGTTGAAATGCAAAATGCCAATGTCATACTTACCGGCATTTTCCCAATTCACAAGGGGAAAACATCAGGATACGGATGTGGAGACGTCGATGAAGGTAACTCACTTTTTGTATTGGCCACGTCAAACTTCAATATTTCGGAAGCGAGGAAAGATTATTATTATTACAACACTTAGGGAAAAACGTGATAAAAGAAAAGAAAAGAAAAAGACACGGTGTTTGACAATATTCCACAATATTTCGACAGTATGTCTCTCTCTTTCAAATCATATTTTAAAATTGCATATAAGTATAAAAAATATTTAAAAAAATACAAGTACAAACGTCGTTTGCCTTGAGAAAAAAGTTTGTGCTGGTAATCAAGTCTAAAAAGAAAGAAATGAAGCCAGCAGTGTATCATTTCTTTTCTTAAATTGTGCTTTTCTCTAAATTTTGCAAAATATTGGCAGAATTATGACAATCATTTTCTTTTATTATTATTATTATTATTATTTTTATTTTCTTTGATTTCTGGCGTTTACACATTTCTTTCCGGGTCCCGCCCAGGGACCTAAGGTTAGAAATGGCGTCATGACACTTTCCACTGAAAAAAAAAAAAAAAAAAATTAAATTACATAGATAAAGCCCTTCGTAAGGTGTGGGCTGTACTTGTCAGAACAATTTTTTGTATCTCCTTGAGGCATGGACTTCCAGGAATCCCTTAAATTAGTCTACTGCAATCTTTTCCAACCAGTCCTAGGGCTCCAACTACAACAGGGATTGTTGATGTTCCCATATGCCACATTTTCGAGATTTCTATTTCAAGGTCCTTGAATTTTTGACAACTTTTTGAATATCTTCAAATATACATTGCAGTCAGCAGGGACTGCCATATCAATAAGGAGGCATCGTTTTTGTTTGTGGTCTTTAATAACAATATCTGGCCGGTTGGCCTTGATTGTTCTGTCAGTGTGTATTGTGTAGTCCCATAGAATTGTAACAGGTCCTATCTCCGTAACCGGGTCTGGGTGGTGTTCATACCAGTTTCTTTCAGTTTCCTTCCCGTATTATTATTATTATTATTGTTTTATTTCCTTTGATTGATTTCTGGTGTGTACTTATTTCTTTCCGGGTCCCGTCCAGAGACCTAAGGCTAGAAATGGCATCATGACACTTTCCACTGAGCAATTAAAAAAAAAAAAAAAAAAAGAACAGCAACACCCATATTTTACATAGATAAAGCCCTTTGGAAGTATGTGGGCTATACTTGTGAGAACAATTTTTTGTACTTCTTTGAGGCATGGTTTTCCAGGAATCCCTTCAATTAGTCTACTGGAATCTTTTCCAACCAATCCTAGGGTTTCAACTACAACAGGGATTGTTGATGTTCCCATGGGCCACATTTTTGAGATTTAGATTTCAAGGTCCTTGTATTTTGATAGTTTTTTGAAGATCTTCAAAGATACATTGCAGTCATCAGGGACTGCCCTATCAATAAGGCGGCACTTTCTTTGTGTTTACGGTCCCTAATAACAATGTCTGGGCGATTAGCTTTGATTGTTCTGTCAGTGTGTATTGTGTAGTCCCATAAAATTGTTACAGGTTCATACCAGATTATTATTATTATTATTCATTTTTTCAGAGTACTTCCTTAACAAGGTTCTTATTGTTTGTATCAATCTGATAATTCATGTCCGGATTTCTGAAACAAGGAATTATCGTTATTATGCATTCATCTTTTCAGTCGACTACCCTCATCATGATTATTTATAGTTTGTATCATTCAGATAATTCATGTCCGGATTTCTGAGATAATTCATGTCCGGATTTCTGAGAATTATTGTTATTATGCATTCGTCTTAGACTACTATCCTCAACTCGTTTCATATAACCTGAATCGATCTGATAATTCATGTCCGGATTTCTGAGAAGAAGAATTATCATTATTATGCATTCGCCTTTTCTGTCTACTATGCGCAACTCACTTCATATAACATGAATCGATCTGATAATTCATGTCTGGATTTCTGAGAAGAGGAATTATCATTATCATGCATTCGTTTTCTCAGGCTACTATCCTCAACTTGCTTTTTATAACCTGTATCAAACTGATAATTCATGTCCGGATTTCTGATATGTACAGTCATCGTTATTACACATTCTTCTTTTCAGTTTATTATCCTCATCATGGCTCCTTATAGTTTGTATCGTTCAAATAATTCCTGTCTAAATTTCTGAGATGAAGAATTAGCATTATAATGCAGTCGTTTTTTTCAGTATGCTATCCTCATCATGGTTCTTTATAGTTTGTAATGTTCAGATAATTCACGCCCGGATTTCTGAAAAAATGAATTATCATTAATACCCACTTCTTTTTTCAAACTAGTACCTTGAATTAGGATTTTATAGTCTATTGATTTGATGATTGATGACTGGATTTCTGAAATGCCCAATTATCGCCATTTTAGATGAATCCTCTCAGACTCGATTAAATTATTTATTCATGGAACTTTAAGATGAATAATTTTATTTATTGTGCAATAATGTATTCGGAATATTTTTTATATAGATTGTTATGTTCTCTATCGATATGAAAAAATCACTCCAGTTTTTTAACGTGGTGATTATTATCAATTTATATGATTCTATTAAAACTAATGTCCACATCTTTGTTCATCTGAACTGAAATGAGGACTAGAGTTAATAGAATAATTTAAAATCGTATCAATTTCTCATGTTGCCGATATTATGATCACTGTCCATCAGTCTGTGAATATTATTTCTACGACTCAGTTCTTTCTTTATCTATCTATCTATCTATCTATCTATCTATCTATCTTTATACTTACTCACCCAATACAAGGCTCAACGGCCAACCAAGGTAAAGCGTTAGCAAATGAGCGTTGTTTTAAGGGCGTAAAGATGGGAGTAAAAACTGAGGATATATCCATGCTTACAGCAACAGGTATTTTCAAGTTATTACCCATCTAGATACTGACCAGGATCGAGTTGCTTAACTTCGATTCACGTACGAGAACCGATATTTCAATGTGATATGGCCGTAAGCTCATATACTACCCGCACATCCCAGCTTAGAGCATCTAGATTCCAAAGCTGTCACTCATTTAGGTACTGACCAGGCTCAACGTTGCTTAACTTTGGTACTCGTACGGGAGCCGATGTAAGTCTTTTATTCTTGATTTCCTATAATGTTGTTAAAAATAAATTTGTAAGGGCACGGAGTTGGTCTCCACCTCAATCCAACACAGTCCACCAATCTAGCAAATCTGGGACCCGAAATATCACGAAACCTTGTCATAATTCGTCACGTTTCAGCAATTAATTGGAGATTCGTCTCCAGCTAAGCAGGTCGAACTCTCTGCCTTCGGGCGGAGGGGAATCCGGACGGGGCTGTGCCGAGGGGCAGGGTGGACAGCTACCCGACAGCTATACGGGGTCTACGGGGAATTTTTGCCCGAACCTTACGGGCTCGGTTTTACCCCGCAGGCCTTGTGTCATATCCTGCCTCGCGGGGTGGTGAGGTAAATAACCTTGTCATAATTCGCCACAATGTTTAACTCTATTCTCTGGGTTCGAATCCCTTCCTGGTCTGGCTGGGAACGTTTCTGCGCCCACTCGCACCTGCACACCGAACAGTCTGTTTCGCATCGCGTGTCTTTTGCAATAAGACCATGGTATTCTTTTTTGCAGTTACATACTTGTAAAATAGAAATCTTCAGTAATTTCGCATATACATATATGTGATAAACCCACCCGTCGATTTCGACTTATGAGGTTCAGACAACTTAATTCAGTTTTTATGTCGGTGTCTCATGTGGCACTTCAGTCCCAATAGTGACCAGCATACATGTCCACATATTGTCTTTCGGTTCCGTATAGGATACAAGTTGGATTCCTGTCGGAGGACGCATATTTTTCGCAGGTAAGAAGTGTAGATCAATGGTGTAGTCCAATGGGCGTCGTTATAGACTTATTCTAAGGCTAAGGCTCTTGACTCTCCTACACGTCCGTCGGTATTTATGACGGACACCAGCCAATCATATTCCAGTGAGGGGGAACACAGGTGTATGCATATTCCATTATATCATAGTATTAAACAACATTTAGTGGAGGACGAATATTTTCTGTGAAAATTTCTCGGACATTCAGGCCGGTAAATGTTGTTAATACTGTTTATTATAAACAGAGCATTTACTTAAATATTTGCATCTATAAATAAGAACGTATAAACATAAAAAATGTCTTAAAATAATTGTCGGACTTTGTCCATTTCATAATGTTTGACGTCATTTGTTTACATTTGGATACGCATCGAGCAGATATGAATGTATGAGAGAAAACCATGGAGAATTGTTGTTTAAAAACAGTAAAATCGACCTTGCTAACCGAGACACTCCTCTGTGGCTCAATCGGTAAAAGCACGTTAGGCTATATGACGGTTCCGTATAGGATACAGGTTCGATTCTCGTCGTAGGATGCATATTTTCTATGAAAATTTCTCGGACATTCAGGCTGGTAAATGTTGTTAATACTGCATATTATAAACAGAGCATTTACTTAAATATTTGTATGTATAAAAAGAACGTATAAACATAAAAATGTCTTTTTATTAATAATATCTATCTCTCTCTCTCTCTCTCTATATATATATATATATATATATATATATATATATATATATATATATATGATGGACTCTCTCGTCGATTTCGACAACTTCATTCAGAAATTTTTATGTTTTGTTTGTGTCACTTCAGTCCCAATAGTGACCAGCATACATGCCCACATATTGTACAACAGTGAGGACCTCGGAACATAGCCACAGGAATATTTGCTGACGCTTTTTGCGATTGTCTTTCGTCTCTCATCCGGTCAGCACGACATACTTTGAAATCTCTGATACTACTCTGGCACAAATATCTCATTTAACCACTACAGAGAAACGTCCCTGTCCCCCATCAGCATGATTGATGCTCGTCTCTGTGAGAGTGTCTCACTGCACCTTCTGGCCTCACGTTTTCAAATGACTTGTGGTGGAAGAATTAGATTGAATCAATAGCTGCATCTATTGCAAGGAAAGTTGGTTCACTGTGTCGTGCCAGAAGATATTTCTCGTCAGAGTCCATCTCACACATCTACAAGTCCCTGTCGTTCATCTCGAAGTTCTCGGCAAAATACAAAGAAGGATCTGTAATGGAATCGGTCCGGAATTGGCTTCTCGTCCTCCGACGCTTTCTCCCAGATCTAATATGGCTTCCCTCTCTCTTTTCTACAAATATTTTCGTGGCAACTGCTCTGACGATTCTTTTTTCCCTGGTGCCACGATTACATAAATTTAAGCGTGCTACTAGATTGGCATTTAGGTCCCACCCTTTTACTGTTGAAACATTTAAATGTAACCGCCACTTCTACTCCAACAGTTTCTTTTCTCTCACTTCCCGATATTAGAACTCCCTTTCTCTCACTTGCTTCCCTGATAACTACAATCTACAAAAATTTAAATGCAACGTCAATCGCCATCTTCTGTTGCCTTGATACCTGTCCTTTTTCTTTTTTCTTTCCTTCCAACATCCACTCTTTTTTCTCACTTTCACTTTCTAGAACCCCCTTCGTGCTAGTGGCACTCCTGCTTTGCTTGGGGTGAAATGCTTTTAAAAAATCTCTAGTTATTTCTATCAACACGCTCGAAATTAGTTTGAGGCACATTGACAGCTGAGGGGTTACTCTCTAGCTTATCTTCATACCTGAGTCAAGCTAGCTATCCATGAGGACCATAGGTATTCTGTCGTCATGTAATATAATTATATATATATATATATTTTGTTTTTACAGATATAATGCAAATATATGAAGCGGCTCGTTGGAGTTTGAAATATATCAATTTAAGAAATTTGGCGGGAAATGGATTGAAGTTGGGTAAGTAACTATTTATTTATGGATTAATCTCTATTTAGATCTCCTCTGAACAAGGCAAATATGGATCATCATATACGTAAAAACGGCGTCAAAAGGAATGTTTCCCTCATGACATTGCTTTTTTTTTTAACTACCTTCACTTCTCGGCATTGTTTATACTTTTAAAAAGCGATGATGAAAATTGGTATTTGAAAATTGAAAATCTAAACTTATGATGAAAGTGAATTTATACATTTCTTTTTTTTTATGATAATTTACAACAAAAATATTAAACACTATTAGATTATTTATTCACGAGACTAATTTTTTAATTTACAACATTCTAAAAACTAAGACAATCAGAATTAATGCAATATTTTTTATTTGCCAATTCACAAAGAAATAAATATGAAATTTTTATTCATAAATTTACTAAATTATTAAAATATGTGAACCAACTAAAACGAAATCCTTACTATTTTCCATTTTATAATTGTTTGAATCACTTAGCAATTAGCTTGCTAATATTTAATAGCCCCACCACGAGGAATGTATGCGGCCCAAGGCCGAGTTTACCGTGGGTTCTCTGAGACCGTAGGCTCGGCCAAAAATATTCCCTTAGAACCCGCATAAACGGGTCCAGGCCTGACAACCTTCCCGGGCGAAACTTTGCCCTTCAGCAAAGCCTCGTCCTGGTTTCTCTCTGCCAAAGACAGAGAGTTCGACAGTTGGACAGTCTATAATATCACCGTTCCTCAAGCAATTATCTCGTTAATATTTAACAGCACCTCCCACGAGGGGGTGTATGTGGCACAAGGCCGAGTTCACCGTGGGTTCGAGCCCGTAGGTTCGGCCAAAAATATTCTCTTAGAATCCGCATGTCTACCTCCCCAGACGAAACTTTGCCCTTCGGCAAAGCCTCGTCCGTGTTCCTCTCTGCTGAGGCAGAGTTTGACAGTCGAACAGGCTATGGCACTGTTCCCTTAGCTTGTTAATATTTAACAACCCACCCCATGAGGGATGTATATGGCACAAGGCCGAGTTTACCGTGGGTTCTCCGAGCCCGTAGGCTCGGCCAAAAATATTCCTTTATAATACGCATAAACGGGTTCAGCGCCTGTCTACCTCCCCGGACGAAACTTTGCCCTTCGGCAAACCCTCGTCCGTGTTCCTTTCTGCCGAGACAGAGAGTTCGATTGTTGAACAGGCTATGGCACCGTTCCCTTAGATTGTTGGGTTTGTAAAATTCGTCTACTCCTATATATAGAGATTGGTCACATGATGTTAGACGGTCACTCATTGGTTAATAAAACCACGTGTGTTCAGAAAAAGCTGACCACCATCAGAGAAAGGACCGGACCTGCTCCGAAGTAACACAGAAGAAATTCTCTCCACCGCGAACGGTACCAGTTGCCGAGTGTTTTAAAGATACAACCTATCTAGCCCTATTTCACGCTACTAGATGGCTAAGTCTGCCTGGCATATTCTCTATATATAGGAAAGGGCACCGGGTTTATATTAACCGTTTAGGTGTAAATAAATATCTTTATTACATGCTGATAAAGTATTCTTTCTATTTGTGTCAGTCCCAAAGTCAAGTGGGGATAGCATAATAAGCTGATGTTTTGCCAACCGTAAATAATATAATAAATAAATAGTATAAATAAACAATCTACTAAATAAATAGTGTTTATTATTTTTGTAGTAAATTCTCAAGAACAAAGAAAATGTAAAATTCACTTTTATATGTTTAGTTTTTATTACAATTCTAATCATCACTTTTTAAAAACAAACACTGCCAAAGAGTGACAGTAGTTAAAATAAAAGCAGTGTCAATGGGAAAACCGTCGTTTTTTACATTCCGTCTTATTGCAGGCATATTTTTTCATGTTTGCCAAATATTTTATAGCAATATAGGCCCAAGAATTACTTTCTATCCCACTAGACACATCAAAACAAAAAAACTGGGATAAAATAAAATACGAGGCCAATTTTTCTAATTTGAGGCTCTCTCTGGATCAGCATCGCCTCACCTGCCTACTATCTGCTTCACAACCGAATAGCGGCGCCTGGCTCAACGCAGTACCCTCTTCATCTACCGGTACCCTTCTTGATGATGAGTGCACTCGGGTCGGAGTCGCGATCCGTCTTGGACTCAAATTATGTGAGCGTCACAGATGCAGATGTGGAGCCTCCATCGATGAGTTTGGTTTGCATCCTCCTGTCGTCGTAGTGCTGGCCGCTTTCCACGGCATGCAGCAATAAACGACATCATCAGAAGAGGTTTGAAAATCTTTGTTTGGCACAACATGACCATTATATAGGAGTCAGTGTGCCATAAAACCACATTCAGAATTAGAACCTTGGAGATGAGATTAAAGACTATGAGAATCTACTTGAAAATCCTTGTTTAGCACTACATGATCATTATATAGGAGTCAGTGCGCCAGAAAACCACATTCAGAATGAGAACCTTGGAGATGAGATTAAAGACTATGAGAATCTACTTGAAAATCCTTGTTTAGCACTACATGATCATTATATAGGAGTCAGTGCGCCAGAAAACCACATTCAGAATGAGAACCTTGGAGATGGGATTAAAGACTATTAGAATCTACTTGAAAATCCTTGTTTGGCACCATATGATCGTTATATAGGAGTCAGTGCGCCAGAAAACCACATTCAGAATGAGAACCTTGGAGATGGGATTAAAGACTATTAGAATCTACTTGAAAATCCTTGTTTGGCACCATATGATCATTATATAGGAGTCATTGCGCCAGAAAACCACATTCAGAATGAGAACCTTGGAGATGGGATTAAAGACTATGAGAATCTACTTGAAAATCCTTGTTTGGCACTACATGACCATTATATAGGAGTCAGTGTGCCATAAAAACACATTCAGAATGAGAACCTTGGAGATGAGATTAAAGACTATGAGAATCTACTTGAAAATCCTTGTTTGGCACCATATGATCATTATATAGGAGTCAGTGCGCCAGAAAACCACATTCAGAATGAGAACCTTGGAGATGAGATTAAAGACTATGAGAATCTACTTGAAAATCCTTGTTTGGCACCATATGATCATTATATAGGAGTCATTGCGCCAGAAAACCACATTCAGAATGAGAACCTTGGAGATGGGATTAAAGACTATGAGAATCTACTTGAAAATCCTTGTTTGGCACTACATGACCATTATATAGGAGTCAGTGTGCCATAAAAAAAACACATTCAGAATGAGAACCTTGAGATGAGATTAAAGACTATGAGAATCTACTTGAAAATCCTTGTTTGGCACCATATGATCATTATATAGGAGTCAAAGTGCGCCAGAAAACCACATTCAGAATGAGAACCTTGGAGATGAGATTAAAGACTATGAGAATCTACTTGAAAATCCTTGTTTGGCACCATATGATCATTATATAGGAGTCATTGCGCCAGAAAACCACATTCAGAATGAGAACCTTGGAGATGAGATTAAAGACTATGAGAATCTACTTGAAAATCCTTGTTTGGCACCATATGATCATTATATAGGAGTCATTGCGCCAGAAAACCACATTCAGAATGAGAACCTTGGAGATGGGATTAAAGACTATGAGAATCTACTTGAAAATCCTTGTTTGGCACCATATGACCATTATATAAGAGTCAGTGTGTCTTAAAACTACTTTCAGAATCTATATCAGCATCTTTATTATTTCATAAACCTTTAAATCATTGTCATTTTGTTCATTCATCATTGTTGCTTCTTGCTTATATGTAATTTCTCGCTTTTTCGGCTAAAAGTAATTTCAGGCGAGAGGTGGCGGCTGAAACTAATTTTAGACAAGAGGGGTGGCTGAAAATAGTTTCTGATAAGAGACGGTTGGTTGAAAATATTTTCAGGCAAGAGGCGGTGGCTTAAAATAATTTTATAGAGTTGGCGGCGGCTGAAAGTAATTTCAGGCGGCAGCTTAAAATAATTTTTAGAGAGTAGGCGGCGGCTGAAATTAATTTCAGGCGACGGCTTAAAATAATTTTAGAGAGTAGGCGGCGGCTGAAATTAATTTCAGGCAGCAGCTTAAAATAATTTTAGACAGTAAGCGGTGGCTTAAAATAATTTTAGCGAGGTGGCGGAGGCTGATAAATATAATTTTTCTGAGGTGTTTTAATAAAAACATCAAAACATAAATGGGATTATGTAAATTCTTGGTTTCAGAAACTGAGACATCGGAAGAAGGCCGAAGAACGTAGTGTCTGAAAAATAGCTGTTCTGAAAATGTGCGGGATAATTAGATGATTTCTATTTTTCAAAGATCTTTCTAAAGCCTTCAATGTGTCTTTCCAAAATATATTTGAACTTTTTCTTTACAGGAATGCAAGCATGGGATAATTGTTACTCCGGAGAGCGAGCCGTTAATGATGTCCTTAATTTCTATCCAGAGGATATCTCTCAGGATAAATTTTGCAATGCAAGCAATTCAGTTATCACAATGGGTGAGTTGTACTATCGTCTGTTTTAGTAAACTTTATTGTTGCATGGGTAAATGGTGCAATGGTTAGTGGCTCGAAACGAGAACTCGGGAAGCTCATTTCGAATTCCAGTCGAGGTCGTTTCATTGACTTTTGCACAAATACCCCTGGGTAAGATATGAATTCGTTACCTTTGCACAAATACCCCGGAAGAAGGAATGAATTTTTTCGCAAAAACTTTTGCAAAAAAATGAAAACTTTTGCAAAAAGTAAACCCATGGGTAACATATGAATCTATTACTTTTTTTTACAAATACCCCTGAGTACGATATGAATCCGTTACTTTTTTTTTTAAATACTCCTGGGTAAGATATGAATTCTTTACTTTTTTTGCAAATACTCCTGGGTAAGATATGAATCTATTACTTATGTACAAATACCCCTGGGTAAGATATGAATCCATTACCTTTTTTGCAAATACTCCTGGGTAACATATGAATCTATTACTTATCTACAAATACCACTGGGTAAGATATGAATTCTTTACTTTTTTTGCAAATACTCCTGGGTAACATATGAATCTATTACTTTTTTTTACAAATACCCCTGGGTAAGATATGAATCTATTATTTATGTACAAATACCTCTGGGTAACATATGAATCTATTACTTATGTACAAATACCCCTGGGTAAGATATGAATCCTTTACTTTTGTACAAATACCCCTGGGTAAGATATATATCCATCATTTCTCTCTTCAACTATATACCCCCTTCTTAAAATAACGACCAAAACTCATAATTATGATTGTTATTACAATATTTTGTTAAAGTTGTTAAGCTCAAATATTTAACGATGCAATAGTGGAATTTTTACCGATAATTTATTGTTGTAGAAACTTGTATTGAGTTTATTCAATCATTAACTTACGAAATAAGTTTCAGTAGAGAATTCAAATAGGAAAACAGTGAATTTTTCACAGGTATTGTTAATAATAATAATAATAATTCTCTATTTCCCGTGTTTTTATCTCATGATGTATCTTCTAAAGCAGTGTTTCTTTCATACACACTTATTTTGTTATTCAAGGTGTGCTCGGACCTTACACAAGTTGGTCGAGCAAAGCGGTGGCTGACTTATTGAACAAATATCCTGCATCACAAATTTCGTATGGTGCTGCAAATAGCAAACTGAGCGATAAAGCTCTATACCCTTATTTCATGAGGACGGCTCCTTCGTCAGGTACTTATGCAACGGTAAGTAAGAATATTCAAAATAGTGTAGGTGGTTACTAATTAGTCACACATAAAACCTGTTGATAAACCTATTTTTTAAAATAATATCTTGAATATTTTCTTATTACATTATTAGTTTTTTGATTAGGATTTTCATCATGATTTCATTTGCTTTATTTCCACTAGTATTATGATTAATAGTGCAGTAGAATCGCTGACAACCGGACTAAGAAGGCCTTTCAGATGTGAGGGTCTATAAAGAATGTTTCATTAAGACGGATCAAAGTTAGCAGTAAATAAATCAGTGTTATTGGTAAAAAAATATTTATTTCTCTATTGGATCATGTTATTTAACTCATAGCAATTATGTGTGAATAATAATATCAGCCAAATGTCCGCCATAAATTAAGAGCAATTAACAGGTGGTTCCACACTCCTCAAAACCTCCTGATCAGAAGTCTTGCTGCTGGATGTAGTTTATCATCTTACCCAGGACGCGGATGTAGTTTCTCGTCATACGGTCGGATTATTTGAAAGGCTAGATATCTTTGAAGGCTGATCCCAATTCTATTCATCTGACTGTAAATCACAGTATGAATTTCGTTCACACGTAAATAATCGAAAGTACCCGGAAAGGAACGCCAAAATGAAGAATAAGTCCACGTTCGGGACTCATCGCAATATGATAGACTCGTCTTATTTGTGTAAGTTCCTTTGGAGACGTCAGGTAAAAAATAACAATAAATGCATTTTTTAACAAATTTTAAAGAAATTTCCCGAATTTTGATATGAAATTTAGTAAATACAAATTCTTTTTATTTTGGGGTGAATTAATACTTTTGGGTGAATTAATAGAAAAGATCCTGAATTAGAAGAAGCCTTTTCAACCATCATTAATTTTATACTAGTTTTTCTTCCGTTTCTATTTTAGCTGCTTTATTTACACTAGCAGTGTTACTACTAGTAATACTGAATTTTTATTATGTAGATTCTTTTTCAAGTATTAGTGAAACAAAGACAGAATTTCAACCCTTTGAGTCCCTGACCACCGCTTAACCGGTAGTGAAGAAAAAAAGGCGTAATTCACAGACACCGGTTAAACAGTGGTTAAGCACTTGTAACTATTTTTATATCTACCGTGAAACATTACATAGCAATTATTTACTAATGTTGACTCAGGAGCTCAGGTAGAAGGGTTAAAATTGTTCAGGAACACAGAGGTCAAAGGGTTAATATCCTTTCTTTGGTGTCATTTGTGTTGCATGCTTTGGCGACCATGTTTTTTTTCGAATCATGATTGACATTCATATAAGATTCTACTGGATATGAAGTGAGGGATCGGTTTCCTATCGTCATTAAGTACTAAAGTGATCCCCCTAAGATTACTGCATATTAACCCTTTGAGCCCTGATCACCGGTTTACCGGTGGTAGAGAAAAATGTCTTAATGCCTAGCCAACGGTTTAACGGTGGTTAAACACTTGTAACTATTTTTTTATACAGTGTAACCCGGATATAAGAGACCCGGATATAAGAGAAACCCGGATATAAGAGAGATTTTCTCTGGTCCCAAATTAGAGCCTGTGTTAACCTAAACAAAATAGACCAAACCCGGATATAAGAGAAACCCGGATATAAGTGACTTCTTCTCCGGTCCCGACAACTCTCTTATATCCGGGTTACACTGTATCTACCCTGAAATATTACATAGCAATTATTTACGAATGTTGACTTAGGAGCTCAGGCAGAAGGATTAAAATTGTCCAGGAACGCACGATTCAAAGGGTTAAATAACTGGGAAGCGTTATGGCAGAAGACGGAAAGTGTGGCACTGAAATCCGAAGACACGTTGGATAAACAAAAGATGCATTCCAAAAGCTAAACATTCTTCTTCTTCTTTTATGTGCTGTGTCTCTTCAGAACGTAGGTGATCATGGCTCTCCACAACTTCCTGTTCTTTGTAGCTCTTAATAAGTTTTGTCTTTCTATTAGTTCTCCTAAACTCTATTCTACCATCCATTTACTCAAGCCCGTCAAGTATGATACACGCTGATTTCCTCTGTCCCTCGTTCCCTCAATGTGTCCCGTGAGTATCAGATTTTCCAAGCCCTCTTTCCTCATTACGTGACCCAGACATTTCAACTTCTTCTTCCCGACGTTAAGTATTAGTTTCCTCTTCGTTTCTATTCTTTCCAAAACCTTGTTGTTACTCACATATTCCGTCCATGGTATCCTCAGCATCTTTCTGTAGAACCACATTTCTGTTGCTTCACGTCTCTTCCTCATCTTTGAGGAGATTGTCGACATACAGGAGGACAGATATCACGTAACAGTTTCAGTACTCATTTCTATGTTTCCAACGAAATTTTTCTATCTCTTAATACTCTGCTTAGCTTTTGGAAGGCATCATTAGCCATCTCAATACGTCTTCGGATTTTAGCTTCTGTAGGAGGTTTTGTAATTTCTTTAAGCAAAGAATTAATAAATATATTAATTTTGTTCAAAACGAAGAAAAGAGTACTGACCTATTATATACTACCAATTCCTTTGTATGGTATTGGATGCTGGACCATTCAATCCTATAGGTAAAGGAGACTTAACGCAACAGAGATGTAGTTCTACAGAAGGATATTGAGAATTCCATAGAGTGCCGAAGCAACGAAGACCTCTTAAGGAAAGTTGAAATAAAAACGACCCTTATAATCAGAATCGGAAAGAGTTGAAATTTCTTGGACACAGAACAAGGAAGAAAGGCTTGGAAAATTTGACACTCACAGGGCAAAGACAATGCAAAAAGGAAGGCAGCGGTCCCTCTACTTGACAAGCTTGTACGAACAGATGACAGAAAAAGGGCTGCAAGTGATAGGAGGTTGTAGAGAGCCATGATCGCTCACGTCCTGAATGAACACGGCATATAAAAGAAGACCGCTTGCTTTTCATAATGATTCTCTCAGCGTAGCTTAGATGTGGCACAAGGTAGAATGTATGGAGCACCCAGTGAGGACCGAACTCACTATTCAGTCGTAACTAATGTAGTTTTTGGTTTGGTTTGGTTTTTGTTTTACGGCATATCAACCTCAATGTGTTATTAAATGCCGACAACATTTTTATTGCTGGTAGTATGTTTTTCTTCGAAAATCTATTTCTGGGAATATTCCTCTTTGAAGAAATCGAAAGCTGGTCATATTTTTTTTTCAAAGAATGTATAACTGTTTGTATTGCTGGTATTTAAGTATTGCTGATAATAATTTATCCTTCAAAAATTATTGCTGGTAATAATTTTTTTATTACAAAGTATTTCTGGTATTAAAACCTATTTTTACACAAGTTTGGGTGTTAACTATTTGCCCATAGCTGGGACCCTAACAGGTGCTACCACCCCGGGTCAGAGTGGACGTGGGAACACCAGCAATTAAGAGGTGGTTCCACGCTCCTCAAAACCTCCTGATCAGATCAAATGATGTAGTGAGAAAAGCTTGCTTAACCATTACACTATGTCGATGCAGTCCCTAACTTGCTTTTTATATACAGTAATGTTTTCTATGATAACTAAAGTGATTTTGTAATGTTTTGTATTATACTGACCGCTTGTTTAAAACATTATATGCTTAAATACAGTAAAAGAAATTGATTTTCTTTTATCAGGTCATTGCAAAAGTTTCTGCTCGATTTTGCTTGTTAATATAAAATGACCTCGATTTGACATTGGTGTTTATTTTGGTGCCGATTTCTAGTGTGTTCTCGATTCAAACCTTGCATTGTTCAGTTGCGAGCCAGACTTTGTTGAATATAGACGTTTTGTCAACAAATGAATGCCTGAAACATGGAGATTCATAAGAAATCAAGTGTGTGCGTCACTTTTTGGCATGTTGAGCTCCACCTTAAACAAATTCACGACAACGGCATTTTCTTTTACTCTGATTTTTTTTTCACCTCCAACCAAACTTTGCAAAGCCAATGGTCAAACGGGTGACGAGAGAAGGTTTTGTCGAAACTGGAAGCTTCTAGTCCTGAACCAGCATGTTGGCGGCGAATTTAGTCATCAACTACGATTCGATAGGGGAATTTCTACGGATAGTTTATTGTCGTAGTGTCGGAGTTAACTCCTCCTTAATTTCCTAATTGTTCACTAGGGCACGCTCTCCCTGCACTGTAAATACTGGGCGATTTCTTGCCTCGTTCTCTTTTTACTTTGCATTTCAGCGGACACATTTAAAAGATCTGATCTCTCGCAGAGATCTGCGTTTTGCCCACTTGTGGGAAAACGCCATCAAACACACACACACACACACACACACACACACACACGTACGAATATTCGTTAAAATACAAACTCTTTACTTTCACGCACAAACACAACTGTTGATGTCTTTATCCATTGTAAATTTTCTTGCTTAATACATATACTTGTTGTATATATATATATATCTGTCTTGTTTGTTTTCTTTACATCTTCGGTTGGACTCAACTTGAGTCCGCCATAATCTTGTAGTGGACCTTATAATATTCTATCAAGAATTACACACGTGTTCCTAATTAAACAACACGTAACCCCCCGGGCTGCTACAGTAGAGCTCGCCACGAGCTTATTCAACCATTAACTTAAGAATGAAGATTCATCAGAAATTTGAAATAGGAAAACTATCAAATTTTCATGGGTTAAAATGAGCTACAATTATTTATGGTGATAGAAGGTATACTTGTCAAAATACTGTGACGAGATTGCATCAATATTTTAGTCAATTAGGCTTACTCCATTTAGTCAACGGTTTTATAGAAGACGTTGTCTAATTTCTAATCACTGTACTAAGGTTACTGTCACATCATTGCAAAAGTGCGTGCCCGATTTTCATTGTTAACCCCTTTGAGCCTTGACCACCGCTGGACATAAAGTGAGGGATTGGTTTCATATTGTCATTAAGTACTAAACTGATCCCCCTTTTCCCGATTTTCATTGTTAATATAAAATGACCTCTACTTGACTTTAGTGTTTAATCCGGTGTCTATTTCTGATGTGTTATCGATTGAAAACTTGCATCGTTAAGTTGCGAATCAGACTTTGTGGACTGTTTACGTTTTGTACACAAAGGAATGCCTTAAAGATGGACGACGAAAATGGCACTTTCTCCAGATTAAACTCAATGAATCTCAGAAAGGTGTGAGCATCGGAACTGCGACAAGCCGTTCAGAAAGTTTATCTGGAACGTGCTCCTGATCTTCAGGGTCAAAAAGTGCTTTGTCAGATTTCGTTAGGGTGATAATATAATTAAGGCGATCAACAACGCTGCGGGCGACCTTTCGATATCGATGAAGACGTTCTGCTTGCCACCATGGAGAATAAATCGAAGATTTCGATGGAAGAGATTGCTCAATTGCCTTGTCGTTATTTTCAAGAAAAATGGCCGATTTTGGCAAAGTGGAAAGGTATCGTTTTGCACCACGGTAACGGAAGACCGCATGTTGCAAAACAAACCTTGCAGAAGATTAAAGAGTTGAAATGGTAAACCATCCAGGAACAACTGTGTTCTGCTGACTTGGTTCCTTCGGGTTTTCATTTGTTTCTGTTATTTAAATGACAAAAGAATTTTTGAACGAGTACAGTCAGTCGAAAACTACGTTAAAACTTCTTCCAACAAAAAAACAGGAAGTTTATACAAAACCAACATAAACAATCTTGTAGAAGGATGGGAAAGAGTTGTTAAAAACAAAGCAGACTATGTACTTTTTTTTTTTTTTTACTAATGTCCATCCAATAAAAGGCCCAAGACAGAGGGCGACTGTGTCATGTTATATTAGCATAAGAAAGAACAAGAAGTGAAGTTCATGGGGCTATGCAGGAAAGATAACAGATATGATAAAGTTACTTAACTGAAAATATCAATGTTTGATGGTGTTTCCCCGACATCAAAGTTTCTTGTAATTGTTTATTCTTCAAGAGATCTCTTGTTTTCGAAGTTGGGGAAACAACATCAAAAAATGATATTTACAGTTAAGTAATTTTTCTGTATATAACATTTTAAATATTATTTTAATGTTTTTAATATTGAGCACCACAGGAAAATATCTGCTTTACTTTTGAAATATTATATTCTTAAATCTTAAATCTTTTTTATATATATATATATATATATATATATATATATATATATATATATATATATATATATATATATATCCGTTCGTGGGTTAAAAAGGCACATTCCGTTGGGTTATTAATACTTGTGAGTAGCGGCGCTATATCGAGTGTATTCAGTTGCTTCTGAGTGACCGAGGCCCGTTGGTCAGTTGGTATGACGCTTGCGTTGTATCAAAATAGGCCGGGTTCGAATCTCAGTAGTGGATAAGAACTGCTATTGCTGATTGCCTAAATCTACGAAATTCTCTTTTTTATTTTTAAAAATATATATATATATATATATATATATATATATATATATATATATATATATATATATATAGTTGATGAAAAACTAGCTAATCCGTATGGGTAAACCCAAAGAGAATAAAATCCGGAGAGCTCAATGTAAATCCAGAGCAAATAATTTAAATAAAAACAGACCACTTTAAGGTTCCATGTAATAAATTATTTCACCACAGCCCTTTTAAAGGACTGCGGATCATCTGACTTTATTTCCAAAGGTTGAAACAAAAAATGAAAAGAAATTTACACATTTTTGACGGGCCGTATTAAACATATGCAAATTAACGAAGTGAGTGAGTTAGCAGACATTGACAAATTTATACGGTTAACTTAACGGAAGTTATATATTGATCTCGAAGGGGTAGAGGAGAAAAACCCAGAAGAGAGAAAAAGAGAGAAGGAAGTCATGAGAGAAAGTGTCACTAATTTTCTTTGGAAAAAAAGGCTAGAAACAGACGCTGTTATTTTGTTTTACTTTGAAAGTGTTATTTTGGGGGTTCATAAAGATTATAATGTTTGATATAAATTTGAATGTCTCTAAACAGTCAACAAATAATTTAATTAATTTATATATATATATATATATATATATATATATATATGTGTGTGTGTGTGTGTGTGTGTGTGTGTGTGTGTGTGTGTGTGTTAAAATTGACCGACACAGTATTGCGGCCTTTTTTTTACATTTTTATTTTTTCTTGTGTTCTTTTAACTTTCGTCTTTTCTGGACAAAAATTATGTAGAAATTGTCCGAATCTTGTATTCTCCGCTACACTTTAGCCATTATCATATAAGAACATATAAGAAAAATTAAATAAAACATTTAAATACTATGTCAATCGTTATCTTCCGTCTATTCATTCATATATATATATATATATATATATATATATATATAATTTCCCCGCAAACAAGGCAATAAAGCCACTAAGACGTAAAAAGATTACTGAGTGTTAGATAATACGAGAAAAAAAGCACTCTTAATAAGAGATAACAATAAAATAATTTAGAAGGCAGAAGATAACGATTGACGTTTAAATAACAATTGCATTTAAAGTTCACTGGAAAGTAAGAAGCCGGAAGAAAGTTCCACAAGTGAGAAGTGCAATCGAAGAAACTGTTAGCATAGAACTTACGGTTTCATCCAACCATTTCAATTTTAAAGTGATGAGACCTTGCCGATGTCCATATTCAGACATTCCTTTAAAATGTTTTCCGTTTTTTTCTTCTTTTACAGAATTTACTGAGTCTTCTAAGAACTCTCAAATGGAACCATCTTGTGGCCATTTTTACAGACGATGCATATGGCACGAACAGTTTCGAGGAATTCTTGCGAATTTCACAGAACACAGAGATTTGTATAAGCCAAGCCGTTTTGATTGATACTGGCGACAGCGTCAGTCAAATACAAAACAAACTGGCTCAAATCGTGCAGACCAAAGCTTCGATCGGCCTCATTTTCGCACCCTCCTCTCGGGCCATCGCCATCATGGACGCCTTGGATAAACGAGGCGATGCTGGGCACCTACAGTGGATCCTGAACGATTTGACTATTGAAAAAAGCAACAAAAACCGCTACTTGAAAGGCGCTCTCTTGCTAAATCCGAAATCGATTACCATCAATGAATTCGTCAACCACTGGGTGACTCTAAATCCCAACGCACCCCCATCGGAAAATCCTTGGTATCGAGAATGGTTCATGACGAAATACAATTGTAAACTTCCGGGCAGTGTACCAACAAAATTCCAGGCTTTACCCTTTTGCTTTGTCCCCCCGGAAAGTAAAAGGCGGTCGACATTCACGCAAAATGCCTACGTTGAACCAGTTGTACTAGGCATGTTTGCGTTTGCTCGGGCGATAAATTCAGCGCACCTTGACCGATGTTTTGGCCAGGTAGGAGTGTGCCAGGCACTTTTGTCGATGTCTGCCGAAGAATTCCACCAGAAGTACCTCATGAAAGTGGATTACAACGTTCCAGTCTCCCAAAATCGGAAAGTCAAATTTGATTCGAACGGAGACCTTGAAAATCCAGAGTTCAGGCTTTGGAATTATATTTATGATTCGAGTATTGGAGGCGAAAGGTTTGTCGAGGTGAGATATCTATCTATCTATCTATCTATCTATCTATCTATCTATCTATCTATCTATCTAATTCTGTTCATATCTATCTATCTATCTATCTATCTATCTATCTATCTAATTCTGTTCATATCTATCTATCTATCTATCTATCTATCTATCTATCTGTATCAATCTATTTAATTTGGTTCATATCTATCTATCTATCTATCTATCTATCTATCTATCTATCTATCTATCTATCCCAGTCTATTTATATCTCTTAGTTTTTTTTTATATATATATATATATATATATATATATATTCATTAGTATTTATTATGTATTCATTCATATATAAGTATGAGACTTTTTCTTTCTTTCTTTCTATCTATCTATCTATCTATCTATCTATCTATCTATCTATTGATCGATCCCAGTGCCTTCGTTATCTATCTATCTATCTATCTATCTATCTATCTATCTATCTATCTATCTATCTATCCCAGTCCCTTCGTTATCTATCTATCTATCTATCTATCTATCTATCTATCTATCTATCTATGTCTGTTCATATTTATACTGTATGTACATGTTTATAAGCCGACTTCATCTAAACATACTCCATACAGACATCAGTAATCCATGATCTATCTTCTTATCTGTATTACTCTGTTATCTCTCTCTATATTTAAGTCCGTTCATATCGATGTCAAAATTTGATATCTTCTGTCCCCACCTACTCAGCTCTCAAAAGCTCTTGGTAGTGATCTATCAATCTGCTAATACCTGCGTTTTTATTCCCCGCATCTATTGTCTGCTCGCAGTGAGTTCGGCATCAGCTTATACTTTAAATGCTATTGTCTATTTTCTACGATGTAAATGTCACTATATTTCCTTAAAGTACATTTATTCTATACACCATGTAGATAATTTCAAACGTTATACATCTTCCTTCATGTTCTTCTATCTACTTTGCAGGCTGGCTCGTCCCAAAATGATGTCTGGACTCTAAATAAACTCACTCTTTACGACAAGAACCGCAACTTTGACATTAGCGCTAATCTTACATCACAATGTCCGACTTCCGGTTGTCCGACATGTCTTGTATACTACCAGCGTCCTTATTTCAATTTCATTGGCGGTGACATACTTATTGGCGGTCTTTTCTCGGCGCATGATTCTGGTCGACTTCCTTTCACCTGTGGGCCGCTTAATTTACAGAATGTTCAAGCCATGATAGCTTTTCGATTCGCCATAAAAAACATCAAGAAACAATTTCCGAAAATTCTGCCGGCCGTCTCTCTTGGAGCAGTGTACAGTGATGTTTGCCAGAGTAGTACTTTAGTCAAAAGTACTTTGTCTGGATTCTTAGGCGAGAAACAAGCCTTCCGGGATAGAACCACGAATCAGCTGATTGAACCAAACTTGATCCAGGCTTACGTGTCGTCGCTGGAGAACAAGCAATCAATTGTGGCTTCAAAGCTCTTGGGTAAATTTAAATACCCCGAAGTCGAGGCTACAGCAACGACTGTTGAGCTTTCAGACCAGAAAATGTATCCTTATTTTAGTCGTACTGTACCAGGTGAGGGAGATCAATTGTTGATCCTGTCTAATGTGCTAAAAAGGAAAGGATGGACATACATTCAGGTGGTGTCAAATAACTACGCGTCAGTCGAAGCCCTGAAAAACTACGCAAAAACATTGTCAGTATGTGTTTCCGCTGTACATATGATCGACTCAACAGCACCAGACTATTCAGAAATTGTCCGTGGCTTAAAAAAGAACCCAAATGCGCGGGCTGTAGTCGTTATTGGTTCACCAGAAGAGGTCAACGCATTGCTGGCTGCGTTGAGCAAGCAGAACGCGTTCAAAGACTTCGTGTTACTCGGTACTAACAGTTGGGGTATCTCTTCTCGAGCTGTCGCCAACCAGGGAGTAGCAGCTGATGGTAGCATCACATTGACCACTGACCCAGGCAGTGCTAACGATTTCAAGCAATACCTCGACCAGCTTGATCCGAAGTCAGATGCACTTCTCACCGAATGGTACCAGAAATTATTTGACTGTTATCTTTACGCTGGGGCCCAGGGGTCATATGCTAAAATGTGCAGCACAAATAGGTTCACGTCTTCATCGAAATTCGTCTTAGACAAATCTGTTTATTACACCATCAACGCAGTGTACGCCGTCGCGTTGGCTTTAAACAACACAATTAACCACTACTGCGGAATCAACAAAGGCGCATGCGTGGCTTTTAGAGCATCTCGCTATGACACCGGATCAATCATTTTGAAATCGATCAGAGATGCAACTATTATGGATGCTAATAAAATGCCGTTTGTAATTAAAAATGGCGAAGGACAATCTAATTTCTTGATTCACAGCTACAAAAAGAATAACGGCTACAGTAAGGTTAGTCATTTTGTTTTTCAATTTTAGAATAAAAGTCAAATGTCCATTTTACGAACAGAGAAAACTTGCCATTTTTATCTTTAAGAATTTCTGCATTGATTACATTTTCAGCAAGAGATCCATTTTTAAAAGTTTTTTTGTCATTATATGTCCGCTTGGATTTCCTATTCTGGACACAGTTACATGGAGTTGACCATGAGGAAAACACGAGATCAATTTTCTAATACATCAATAATAATAATAATAATAATAATAATAATAATATATTTATATGAAGAAATATAGTTTTAAGGTGTGCTATATTTATGGGATAAAGTGCTCAATATCAGTGGTAAAGCGTAAAATACGAAGCTCTTCAGTAAAATGAATGGAGCAATTTGGCTGCTTGGCATTTGTTTACGTTTGTAAAAACAATACACTAGATTTGGCTGATTCGTTCCGTCGAGTGAAGAATGGTGGTAGAAGCTCTGACTGACACAAAATCGATTGGGTTTCGATCCGGGCTTGAGGCATTCGGTTGTTTAGTCGCACCGAGGAGCTGTGATACAGCAATGTCTGCGAATGACATATATATATATATATATATATATATATTCTTTTTATAGATACAAATATTTAAGTAAATGCTCTGTTTTATAATAAGCAGTATTTATAACATTTACCGGCCTGAATGTCCGAGAAATTTTCATATAAAATATTCGTCCTCCGACAGGAATCGAACATGTATCCTATACTGAACCATCATATAGCCTGACGTGCTCTTAACCGATCTAGCCACAGAGGATCGTTCGATTAGCAAGGTTGAATATACTGCCTTTAAACTTCAATCTTCCATGAATCTCTCATGTAGATTCATATCTGCTCAAAGCGTAGCCAAATGTAAACAAATGACGTCACACATTATGAAATGGACAAAGTCCGACAATTATTTTAAGACATTTTATGTTTATACATTCTTTTTTATAATGTGTGACGTCTATTTCATAATATATATATATATATATATATATATATATATATATATATATATATATATATATATATATATATATATTAATCAGCAGCAGCATCCAACAAATTCCCTTTCTTCCAAAAGTGCAAAAGTGCTCAACTCACGAAAGGGAACGTATACAGTCATCTGCAAACAGATTTTTTCGCTGTATCAAACCCGGATCCTAGTCACACTGATGAGCTGTGAGACAGCGAAAAATTCTCTGTGTAGATGACTATATATATATATATAGTCTGTTATCATTGAATTTATGTATCTTGTTTGTCAAACTCGTGGGCTGAGTAACGGAATTTCATTTAATTTGTTTTTCTAAAAGTAATAATTTTATATTCATCCAAATAGATAATACACATAGGTACATGCAATTCCAATATGTGCAGATCATAAGGAATATACATAGAAATTGTCGATATTAAGTAAATAAACTTAGTGAGCAGAGTTTGTCTTTGATTTATTTACAAATAGGTATAATGGGTCACAATGCAAAATGTGATTCTTGCTGTGGGTTTAAAGTTTGAAAAATGCTGATCTAGATAGCTGAAATATGTAGCAGTAAGAATTAAAATGTGTCATTCAAAATTTTCAAGTGTAGTAGAACTCCAAACTGTAGAATGCTACACCAAATGTGTAACATAACCAGGTCTGCATTCAGTTGTGTTTTAACCTTCAGCACTTGGATTTCTTCACTGCTTTCAACTGATCCATGTGAGCTGGGTGTCTATATTTCTGAGATGAGTTATTATGTACACTATTTACATTATTCGGACTATTGTTCTCATCTTTGTTTCCATATTTATCACAACATTTCGGCCGTTGTACGCTCCAGCCTTCTTCAGGTGCTTGAAATGTTGAACTGAACCCTTTATTTCGCTTGCTGGGGTAGACTGTTCTAGTTCCAATTCATCCAAATAGATAATACAAATAGATACATGCAATTCCAATATGAAGAAATATACATAGAAATTGTCGATGCTAAATAAATGAACCTAGTGAACAGAGTTTGTCTTTGACTTATTTACACGTACGTATAATGGGTCGCAATGTAAAATGTGGTTCTTGCTGTGGGTTTAAGGTAAAAAAAAAATTTGAAAAACGCTAGCCTAGGCTATTCCAAAATGGCAAACCCTATTGTTTTAGTCAGATTAGGCAGAGGAGATTGAACCATGTGGGTGTGGAATACCCAGTGTGACAGCTATGTTTACATTTTGATATAAGACCAAAAACGCGCGAAGACAAGCCACCACGGGGTGAGAAGGGGTAGTTGGCCAGCTTGTTGACACCCTTTCTCTATTCTTCTTCCTCTTCCTCTCGCTTCCTCCAAGAAATAATGCTACGAATACCGTATCCTTTCCCCTGAAATAAAGCAAAGAAAATAAACATAAGAAAATTGTATGCCGTTCCTTCAGTGTGATGCAGCGTTGGGACCTGAAGAATTGCCGATATAATGATAACTTCACATACAAGAAATTCAGACAGAAATGACAAACTGAGTTAAGAATTACTTGTCTGGCATGGGTTCCGAAAGCTGCAGCAGCATTGTATTTGACTAGAGAATGGACGTATATGCGAAACTTGCACTCTATTTTAGGATACCTCGATTAATGCACATTCGATTAATGCGTTTTCGATTAGTGCGCTAAAATCTTTATATACCAAAATTCGATTAGTGTATATATAATAGTCTATTAGTTTTGTCAAACACTTTACAGTTTAAGCATAGTAATTAAAAATTGATTTTTTTATAGTTACTGATGTACAAATTAGTCGCACTAATTGAGGGATTCCTGTATTGTATAAATAACAAATTACGATGAAAAACACTTTCAAATAATTCTTTCTTTTTTTTTCAGATCGGCATTTATAACGTTGCTAATAATCTGCTTCAACTGAATCCAGCTTCCTCTGTGACGTCAGTGTGTCCGGGTACTTGCTACGAATGTCACCAAGTGAATAAAAAGAACTACATTTACACTCGCGGTCAACTAACAATCGCCGCCATCTTGGGTATTCACAGACCCACCTCTCTGGCCAGTCCGTTCTTGTGCGGTGACCAGATCAACGATTACCAATTTGTGACCGCTCTGGAATATGCGATTCATTCTATTAACAGTGGTCAGGCACCGGTCGGTCTGAACGGCATCCGGCTTGGTTCGCTGATTCTGGACAGTTGCAACCTCGACACACGGGCTTACGGATTGATGTCTGCCGTATATTCAGGCTCTTACCAGGTTGCCGAGAAATTCCGACCCAATGAAATTGTCGCCTGGATGACGGATACAAGCGGCGCAGCTAGTCAGATGGGTTATCTAGCCAGCAAATTGAAAGTTCCGTTGGTCAGTCCTTCTGCGACCAGCCAGAGTTTAATGGATAGATCAAAATATTCAACTTTTTACCGGACCATACCGGGTGATGAGAGTTTGTCCAATGCTATCGCCAAGTTGTGTCGAATCATGAACTTCCGTTATATACAAGTGAGTGTGAACTTCATTAAAATATTTATTTTGCGTGTTGAATGATTGGTTACGTTTAAATTTTAGTGACAGCATCCTTAACCAACTGAATTGACAAAGTTATCAATAAACAATAGAAACAGGAAAAATAAAAAAAATCAAAGCAAAACAATACTAAGCAAACACTATACCGTATATTCTCGTGTAACGCGTGATCTCGCGTGATCTCGCGTGATCTCGCGTAATATGCAACCCCCAAATTTTCACTTATGAGGTAAAAAAATGATATTTACTATGTGTCCTGTATATTAATCTAATCACTGAGAAAATATTTTCAAAATATTTCAAGTCTTACGGCCACATCATGTGAAAACACCCAAAGTTAAGTAATGTCGAACCTGGTCAGTACCTACATGGGTGACTGCTAGGAAATACTAAGTGCTCAAAGCTTGGATATGTGGGTGATGTAATGAGTAATGGTTCATAATTGTTAATCAGAGAGCTGAGTTCCAATTGTTGTTGAGTTTATTATATTCACATGCACAAATACCCTTGGAAAAGATATGAAGCCATCTCTTATCCCCCAGCTAGAGGTCAAATAAAAAAATTCTTACAATCTAATTGTCTGGCTTTAAATAACCTACAAAGAATTGATAAGCTTTAAAAAAAAAACAGATCAATCATTCAAAATATTTTAACTCAAAACAAATTATTCAAGATTTTATTTATTTCTTTTTACTTTAATTTTATTTTCTTAATTATTTTCTTTGTTTTAATCATTTCACCCCAAGTAAAGGCAATAAAACCACTAAGATGAAAGGGATTGCTGAGTGCGAGAGAATATGAGAAAAAGATAAAGGAGAGAGAACAATAAAAGAACAGAAATTAAGAAGACGAAAAAAGACAATTGACATTGCAATTAAGTTAATTGGAAAGCAAGAAGCTGGAAGTGTTCCATAAAGGAGAAGTGCAAGAGAAGAAACAGTTAGCATAGAGCCTAAGATTAAATCTAGCCATTTTAACTGTAAAATAATGAGACCTTGCTTCCAATCGAGTACTGAACTTAAATTCGTAAAGTCTAGGTACTATAGAGGAAAGTTTATCAGAACAATTACCATGAAAATATTTATAGAAAAGGCACAGAGAATCTGCATTATGGCGGTGGGAAATGACTGAAGCCGAGATGCCAGGTCAGGATTTAGTTATAACAGGTAGGTTCTATTGATGGTTAGATAGTGAAGGTAAATTATCAGTTTAATTGCATCTAGTCTAATATAAGAAATATTTTTAGTGTTAGAGGACAAGAAAACATTAATGAATAATATATCTTGTATAATAAATCCACCCTAGCTTCTCAGGGTAATGGAAGAGAAAATTCCACTCAAAGAACACCAGCTTTTAATCATTTTTTTTAATAATTTCACCAAGCAAAGCAATAAAGCCACTAAGAGGTAAGGGGTTACTGAGTATGAGAAAATATTAGAAAAAGGAAAAATCTTATTAAGGACAGGGAACAATAAAAGAGTAGGAATTAAGACATGATAATGATTGACATTTAAATTTTTGAAGATCAAAGTTTATTGGAAAGCAAGCCAGAAGAGAGTTCCATAAGTGAGAAGTGCAAGAGAAGAAACAGTTAGCATAGAGCCTAAGATTAAATCTAGCCATTTTAACTGTAAAATAATGAGACCTTGCTTCCAATCTAGTACTGAACTTAAATTCATAAAGTCTAGATACTATGGAGGAAAATTTATCAGAACGATTACCATGAACGTATTTATAGAAAAGGCACAGGAAAGCTACATTATGGCTGCGGGAAAGTGAAGCCAAGTCAATAAAAGCATGTTTAATCTGTGATGGTAAAAAAAAAGAGATTTCCTATGTGTCCAGACACCCTGTATATTAATCTAATCACAGAAAATATTTTCAAAATATTTCAAGGCTTATGGCCACATCATGTTAAAACACCCAAAGTTAAGTAATGTCGAACCTGGTCAGTACCTAGATGGGTGACCGCTAGAAAATACTAAATGCTCAAAGCTTGGATGTATGGGTAGTGTAATGGCTCAAAATTGTTAATCAGAGAGTCGAGTTCCAATTGTTGGGTTTATTATATTCACATGCACAAATATCCTTGGGAATGCATGACGCCATCTTTTATACACCCCACAGCTAGCACATTCATTCTTTATGGGTTCAGTCAAATGATTTTCATTGAGTATAACTTCTCATTTAGCATGTCCCAGAAAAAGAAGTCAATACTTTCTTCTTTCGACAAAATCATGTTTAATCATGTGAAGGTAAAAAGAAAAATAGTTAATGAGTTTTCCTATGTATTCAGATCATTAGGGATCCACCCTATATATGTAAATCAAAATTAAGCAAAGCAACAATAATATGATAAATATTCGCAAAGTAAGAGTTGTATTCACATGCAAAAGGGATACAGTCAAGTGGTTATAGCATTCTGACTTCAAGTGAAGAAAGAAAAAAGATCGGGAATAGGACTGGGAATTGTCCGGTTATATTGTTTAGGAAAAAATCCCAGCATGCATCTGTGTGCATAAGACCGAGAATTATCCATTTTTATTGGCTAGGAAGAAATCCCAGCATGCATCTGTGTGCATAAGACCTAGAATTATCCATTTTTATTGGCTAGGAAGAAATCCCAGCATGCATCTGTGTGCATAAGACCGAGAATTATCCATTTTTATTGGCTAGGAAGAAATCCCAGCATGCATCTGTGTGCATAAGACCGAGAATTATCCATTTTTATTGGCTAGGAAGAAATCCCAGCATGCATCTGTGTGCATAAGACCGAGAATTATCCATTTTTATTGTTTAGGAAGAAATCCCAGCATGCATCTGTGTGCATAAGACCGAGAATTATCCATTTTTATTGGCTAGGAAGAAATCCCAGCATGCATCTGATATCGAACCGAACCTTATATTTCGCCCACCGGGGTAGATTGTTCTTGAAGGCACATGGCCCGGTGGATAATTCTTTAACCACTCAAATTCAGAGAGAAAAGGCAGGAAGTTGTGGAGAGATATAAATATTTGAGAGGGTTTACTTCAGTGTCTGTTTATATCTCTGAGATGAAGTATTATGATTACTTGTATTATTTACATTATTCGGACTGTTATCCTTATCTTCACTGCCTCATTCACAACGTTTCACCTGTTGTACGCTCCGGCTTCTTCATCCACTGGGCCATGTGTCCTTGATAAAGACGTTGATTAGATCTAGTGACTAGACCCAAAGAGTTGTGAGTTTAATACTAGCAGTGGCGAAACCAAAATTTGGCGAGTTGAGTTAAAAGGAAATAACCTGGACATCCGTAAGAGTCATGGCACATGGAACTAGAACGATCTACCCTGGGTGGACTAAATAAAGGGTTTGGTTCGAAATTCCAATCAAACGAAGAAGAACGGAGCGTACAACGGCCGAAACGTTGTGAATATGGCAATGAAGATGAGGATAACAGTCCGAATAATTTAAATAATGTAAGTATTGTAAGACTGGAAACTACCTACACAATGGACTCTTCCAGGCCTATATTAAGTAGGCGACATAACACTCTAGAGAGTGACAGAGAGTGACATAGATTGACATAGTAAGCTCCGCTTACACTATCTCTGTAACCTGTTGTTAATATATCTTTCTTACATCTAATCCGGGTTCCGTGTTTTACTTCTGTGGTCCCAACTTTGGCCCCACATCAGTAAGTAATCATAATACCTCATCTCAGAGATATAGAGGCTGAAACGTTGGGAATTTGCCAATGAACATGAGGACAATAGTCCAAATAATGTAAATAATGAAAGAAATCATAATACCTCATCTCAGAAATATAGACAGATATATATAGAGAGACACAGACATAAAGGCCGGAGTGTATAACGGCCGAGACGTTGTGAATATGGCAATGAAGATGAGGATAACAGTCCGAATAATGTAAATAATGCAAGTAATCATAATACCTCATCTCAGAGATATAGAGGCCAAAACGTTGTGAATGTGCCAATGAACATGAGGATAACAGTCCGAATAATGTAAATAATCATAATACCTCATCTCAGAGATATAGACAGATATATAGAGAGACATAGGCATAAAGGCCGGGACGTACAACGGCCAAAATGTTGTGAATATGGCAATGGAGATAAGGATAACAGTCCAAATAATGCAAGTAATTATAATACCTCATCTCAGAGATATAGACAGATATCGAAGAAAAATGCCAATCGCCTGAAGAAGCCCGGAGCGTACAACTACCGAAACACTGTGAATATGGAAATGAAGATGGGGACAACAGTCCGGATAATGTAAATAATGCATGCATAGGATTTGTGTATAAATTTTGTGAGGGCATGTTCTTAGTCATTCAATAACATTGTGTGTCTTCATATTTTGCATAGCATTTCTGTAATTATTAGCATTATTTTATTAAGTCTGGCTAAAGGTTAACAGTGCAGAGCACTCAGTAAGAATCGAACCCACAAGATCAATGTGTCTAGCTTGGTAAGCAATGCGCTACAACATGTCACCTCGAGATAGTTTTTTTTTTGTTTTAGAATTATTATTTTTTTAATTTCTGGCCATGGGTGATCCCCTTTTACAAGAACTCTGAAATATGACCATTACAAAGTAGTGATATACGATTATGCTCGTTAAAAGCACTAGATGTGAAAGGCTGGCCTTTTAATTGGGGTCAACATTCTCGTTTATCAACGAGCTGTGATTTATTCCTTTTCCGAATAAACCCGATAGGAGAGAGGAATTTAGGGCCCATAAAAGTGGAACTATTTTGCATGCTAGCCATTCCATCCTAGCGAACACTACAAAGATGAGACCTATTTGACACTCTTCGCAGTTAGTTATGTGTCATGCGTGATACACGTTTAGGCGATCATGTATCTTTTGATACATGACTGACGAGGCAGATTTTTTCCCGCAGTAGGTCGCCATTTCTTTCTATGGTAGACCAGTTGCCATCCAAGGCTATAGAACTCGGTCTGTCCTGCTATTTACCCATATCTGGGGTGGGGGGAGGAGAGAAGAAGACGATTTATACGTTTCCTAAATCATTAGCACGTCAGTCAGTCAGTGATGTACCAAACGTGATACACACTTAGACGATCATGTATCTTTTGATACATGACTGATGAGGCAGATTTTTTCCCGCAGTAGGTTGCCATTTCTTTCTGCGGTAGATCAGTTGCCATCCAAGGCTATTTACCTATAGCTGGGTGTGGAAGAAGAACAGCATTCATACTTTTCCCAAGGGTATTAGCATGTAAATGAATGTCAATATTTAACTGAAATTCGAACTCGGTTCTCCGATTGTTCAATCCGAGCCACTATCCATTACTCCACCGTGCCTCCTTGACACTCTCCGCGCTTATTCCAATAATAGAAATTACACAGACTATCACTACGGTCGACTCCTCTATCCTCAATAAATTCCGGCATCAGAAATGGGGGAATAGTTTAATACGAAAGAACAATGCAACACTGATCCCTCACTTTCTATCATCCTTTCATTTTTTTTTTAATTTTTGTTCTCAGTATTTTTCTAAAATACTCTTTTAATATGAAAAAAAAATGATTTCTCAGTTGTGTTTCAAAATCTAAATACAGTTTTAATGTTAAAAATATCAAGGATGTTTTGGAATTTCATGTATGAATCTATTATGTCCAAGAAATGGGGGATGAGTTTAATACTAAATAACAATACAAAACTGATCCCTCAATTTCTATCATCCTTCATTTGATTACCGATAAGGATGATTTGGAATTTCATCTATGAATCTACTGTGGCCAAGAAATGGGGTATGTGTTTAATACTAAATAACAATACAAAACTGATCCCCCACTTCTATCATCTTTTCATTTGATTAACGATAAAGATGTTTTGGAATTTCATCTATGAATCTACCGTGGCTAAGAAATGGGGGATGATTTTGATACTAAAGAACAATACAAAACTGATCCCTCATTTCTATCATCTTTTCATTTGATTACCGATAAAGATGTTTTGGAATGAATATGAATCTGCTATGGCCAAGAAATGGGGGATTAGTTTAATACTAAAGAAAAATACAAAGCTGATCCCCCACTTCTTACCATCCTTTCTTTTTTATTATCTAAGGAATTTTTTAGTTGCCGCATATACTTGTGTATCATGCGGCCTTTGAAGGCCTAATTTTGAAGCTAATTTGACTAGAGTAAATGGATATATAGTTTGGTCAATGGCATAGCTAGGGCCAGCAGTACATACGTTAATTTTATATCACGTGTATGATGCGACCCTCTTAAAATTAGCTTAAAAATTAGGTCTTCAAAAGTCGCATGATACGCGAGTATAGATGGTAACCTTTTTTAATTTTGTAGAAATTTTTATAGTATGAAGCGCTATAAATAATTTTATGAAATATTCGAACGCTTGTCCTTATTATTCGATTTAAACAAATTGGTATCTTTAAAAAATTTTCCCAGACAATTGCTTCAAGTGATCAATTCTCCTTGGAATCAGCGTCGATGCTGAAGGACCTTGGCAAGCAAGAGGGAGTCTGCGTGGTAGCCAGCTTCCAAATTGGAACCGGGACAAAAATGGAGGATATTCTTAAATCAGCGCGGCAAAATGAGGCCCCTATTGTATTGTTCGTCAGTCTCAACGAACTAGAAGAGTTGCTGAAAGTCAAAAAAGTGCCAGAAGACAATAACCTGATTTTAATTACTCCCAACACAGTGACTGAGATTGTCAAAAAGTATCCGTTAGCCGCTCAAAACCTTCTATCGACACAAATTCTATCCGCAGGTAAGTTAAAAAAAGAAAAAGAAAAGAAAAAAAAAAAAAAAAACAAACATAAAAATAAAAAATTTCAAACGTAAAAACTAAACAGACTAAATATTTTTCCTTCTATTATTTTTTTAAAAATATACTTTAATATGAAAAAATTTTTCTCAGTTTTTTTTAAATATTTAATTTTTTTAATTTTTCTAAAATTTTTTTCCATTTATTTTTCAAAATAAAATGTTCTTTTAATATGAAAAATAAAAAATTTTGTTTATTTTCTTTTTTATTTTATTTCTAAATATCATAAATACCATTTTAATGTTAAAAATAAAAAACATTTTCCATTTCTAAATTCAAAATAAAAAAAATATCAACATTTTAATAATATTCAAAAAAAAAATACAATTTTTAAATCAGTTAATCAATTGTTTCTAAATGCAAATACCATTTTAATGTTAAAAATATCACATTTTCCATTTAAGATTCAAAATAAAAATACACTTTTAAAAAGTATCTTCAGCTCTTCAACATTTCATCTTCATCTTCATATTCATTGTCTTTGTTTTAATTTAATTAAACACGACTTCTTTTTTGCCTAGTGGATCTCAAACCATATTTGGTGTATATGGCAAGTCAACGTCCGAACGATGTTTCTTTTACCCACGTATTTTTCGAGAAATTTTACCAAGACATGTTTAAATGCGATCTTCCCGGTTGGCAAAAATATGGCCAACCCTGTCCTACACAATTATTGCGGCCGATAATCGAAATAAAACAATTCTGAAAAAGCGTATGTAAATCGGTCCAACCATCAACGGAGTGTACGCTGTGGTCGACGCCCTTCATGACACCCTCAAGGAATTGTGCGGAATGAATTACTCAAGCATTTGCTCGGCTTTTTACGCGTCAAACAAGCAACCAGAATTATTGTTGAAAAATTTGGATAAAGCCAATATTCCCAAAAGTAGTACCCGGGCCGACTTCCGGTTCGTTAACAGAGAAGGCAGCGCTACTTATGAAATACTTCGATTCAATGGTAATGTTTACCAGAAAGTAAGTATTCTTATCTATCTATCTATCTATCTATCTATCTATCTATCTATCTTAAATTTTTTCCAGAAAAAAGAGTGAGGACAAAGTCTTTGATATGTTTGTTTGTTTATTGTCCCCTTTACCTTTTTTATTGTTTTATAGCCTGGTTATCAAGTCACTGATGGTAGAGTTTGTGTTTGTATATATGTCTATGCGTTAGTGTGTTTAAGTATCTCTCTGTTTGTAATTTTTTTACTTTAATTTATTGCACGTTTGCACTGCTGACTGATATCTTATTTCCACAACACTACCCCAGTCACACTCCTCACCCCAAACTTCTAGTCGATGAGTTAAGGCTGCCAATTTCTTTGATTTTCGTCGAATTTAAGTTCGGCTATATTTTAATTTGCGCCTTTCCAATTGATGCATTTCGCTAGAAATCCTTACACGGTATGGAATAAATTATTTAAAATGGACATTTGAAAACAATAAATTGAAATAAAAATGTGATCAAAAAAAACAGTGTATACAAATCATTAGATATCTTTAAAAAGATTATTTGTAAAATTAAAATATATATATATATATATATATATATATATATATATATATATATATATATATATATATATATTGAACAATAAAAAATATTAAAAAATTAAAATGTTCAAACACACTGGGATGTATATTAATATTCTTTCGTTTTTATTATTACTTCATTTAGATTCTTCGACTAGTTTCGGCCGACATGGCCATCATAAGAAAAAAAATTCTGCTTGCTGGTAGCAGTGAACTACAGAAATGAATGTCTTGATGGAGAAAATGAACTTTTGTCTGTACTTTTCATTTGTTTTTTTTATTTTTTTAACATGAATCTTTTAACATTCCTTGTGTTGGTCAAACAGTCTCTTTTAAGTTGTTATTTGAGATAAGAGCTGGATGAATCTATGCTTCTCTGAATTCCCCTGGTCAGTTTGACAGTTTTATTGGTCCTGGAGAGGGGATGTGTCTCTGTTAAGTGTTTGTGCGTGTTATTTGGTTCTTAGGGAGTGAGTGAGTATGATATGTGTAAGTGTGTATATTCGTGTGGGTGTGTGTATAAGTGTGAGGCCTCAACACCTCCGTAAGCATGTCTGTCTTGTATGGGTAAGAAATGCGGGTAGGTTTTGATTTGTAGGGTTATATATTAATACTATCTATATTGTTAGATTTATGGTTTAGCCCGGCTGGATAGTGCGTTTTTAAACGTTGTATCCACTTATTTTCATGGAACTCTAAAATCTTTCTAATGTTATCTGCTCAGAACTTTTCTATTGTCTCAATTATAGTGAATTTGGCATGGGTTTTAAAATCGTGTTTTTCTAGGCGGAAATATTTTTCTATAGGTAATAATCTTTCATGGGGAGTCGACTTAATTCGATTGCGATAATTATTAATTCTGTAGTGAAAGGGCCATTCAGATTTTCCTACATATTGTTTCTGCATAGTGTGCATTCTAGGAGGTAAATTATGTTATGACTTCTACAGTTAAAAGTAGATTTAGTGACTGAGTTAGTGAATGAATTCGTGTGTCTAATGTGGTTGCAGCATAAGCTTCTTTTGTTGTTACATGGTTAGAAAAATCCAGTTTTTTTTTGTTGATTTATTACGGATTACCTTGTATATATATATATATATATATATATATATATATATATATATATATATATATACACATTTAATGGTGAGTAGAATTTTTTCAAACAAAATGCTCAATATTAGAAAACAGAGCAAATATATATATATATATATATATATATATATATATATATATATATATATATATATATATATATAACACCTTTTAATGGTGAGTAGGATTTTTTGCAAACAAAGTGCTCAATATTAGAAAATAGAGCAACAATATTTAAAAATGCTCAAAATCTTATTTATCGGACTTTGTGGATACACTGCCCATCAGAGGCAGATAAATCTATTGAATTTTTTTTTTTACAGATATCATATTTATAGATGCCCTAAATTAATAAGATTGAAGACAAGTTCAATGTCGACAATTATTGATTATTTATTTTATAGGTTGGTTCATACGATGGCGTGGCCATGAAAATGGACGACGTATCAGCGTTCTACAAAGGGGTAAAAACAAATTTCCAGAAGAAATATCCGAGTTGTCAAAAGCAGACTGTAAACTTTACCCTCTCACCAGGAGATATTTACATTGCCGGTAAGAGAACACACACACACACACACACACACATACATTGAGTCTCAGGCTGACATATCTTTATGGAATGATTAACATATTTTTTCACCTTTATCTATCTCTCTATTCATATGTATGTATCTATCTATCTCAGTCTGTTCATATCTATCTATCTATCTATCTATCTATCTATCTATCTATCTATCTATCTATTTCAGTCTGTTCATATGTATGCATATATCTATCTCAGTATGTTCATATCTATCTATCTATCTATCTATCTATCTATCTATCTATCTATTTCAGTCTGTTCATATGTATACATATATCTATCTCAGTATGTTCATATCTATCTATCTATCTATCTATCTATCTATCTCAGTCTATTCCTTCCTATCTATCTATCTATCTATCTCAGTCTGTTCATATGCATGTATGTTGGGCACCTCGGCGTGGTGTAATGGTTAGCAATCTTGTCTCACTAGATTAATTACGACTGAAAAATGAGTTCGATCCTCACTAGGTACCCATACTTTCGGCCTTCTACCGCCTCTAAGCTACACTTAGAAAATAAACATATCTATCTATCTATCTATAATTCTCAATCTGTTAATATCTATCTATCTATCTATCTATCTATCTCAGTTTGTTAATATCTATCTATATGTTACAGTTTATCAATATCTATTTCAGTCTATCAATATCTATCTATCTATCTCAGTCTGTTAATATCTATCTATAATTCTCAGTCTGTTAATATCTATCTATCTATCTATCTATCTATCTATCTATCTCAGTTTGTTAATATCTATCTATATATTACAGTTTATCAATATCTATTTCAGTCTATCAATATCTATCTATCTATCTTTCTTTTTCAGTTTGTTAATATCTATCTATCTATCTAGTGGCTAACGTCCTAATTTATTTCTCTTTATTAACTCCTAGGTGTTTTTGATATCCATAACCAAGGCCTTCGGCTCTTTTCCTGCGGAGACATTAAGATGCTCAGGGGTTACCAAAACCTTGAGGCCTTCCAGTTCGCCATCGATGAAGTCAACAAGAAGCAAGGCCAATTTAAGGACATCCTGTCTGGGGTTACTCTCGGTGGCATCGGACTAGACAGCTGCAACAGCGATGTTCGCGCCGGAAACCTCGTATCGAACATCAACAACGGATTGGTCAAGATAGCTAAACACGGTGTCAGCGTGAATCCGAATGAGATCTTTGCCTATATTGGCGGCTCGACAAGCGATAGCTCTATCTATCTCTCCAGGATTCTCCGTACTCTTCGCTTGCCACTGATCAGTTACGCAGCCACTAGTGTCCAGCTAGCCGACCAGAACAGATATCCATACTTTTTACGAACAGTTCCGGCTGACGATAGGTTAGTGAATGCAATGACGAATTTCCTCGTTCAAAATGATATTCGTTATGTCCAAGTCGTACATACACCGAACAATTACGGAATTCGTGGTTCAGAAGTGTTTAATGAAACGGCAAGAGAAAAACGCATATGTGTAGCCCAGACAATACAATTTGCAGATAAAGGTATCTCCCTGTCGGACAGCGCTAATAACGTAGTGACGTCCCTTTTAGAAAAACCCCTGGCAAATGCAATTGTCATTTTTGCGGAACCTTTGTATATCAATGCGCTACTTAAAGCAATTAACCGGGAACCATTAGCCGTCCAGAGAAAATATAAATTCGTCGGAGCTTCGCTTTGGGGTAAAACTTGGGACGCCGTCCGTAATGTTGAGAACATTGCCGAAGATTCGGTGAGTATGGCGATATCAAATGATGATATTTACGAGTTTAACGAATACCTCAAGTCTAAGACTCTGGAAAATCATGCGCAAAATCCGTGGTTTAATGAGTATTACGAAAGGATATTTAATTGTTACCTTACCGAAAAGAAAGGAAACCTGTTTCGGCCATGCTGGAGCACGACCCAGAGTGTCGTATCAACGAGAGAA